AGCAGAGGGCTACAAAGATGATGAGGGGACTGGAGCATCTCTCCTATGAAGAAAGGCTGAGGGAGCTGGGCCTGTTCAGCCTGGAGGAGAGAAGACTGAGAGGGGATCTCATCAACGTGTACAAGTATCTGAAGGGAGGGTGTTGAGAGGATGGGGCCAAGGACAAGAGGCAACAGGCACAAACTGAAACCCAGGAAGTCCCGTCTGAACATGAGGGAAAACTTCTTTCCTGTGAGGGTGACGGAGCCCTGGAACAGGTTGCCCAGAGAGGTTGTGGAGTCTCCATCCTTGGAGATATTCAAAACCCGCCTGGACGCGATCCTGTGCAATATGCTCTAGAAGTCCCTGCTTGAGCAGGGAGGTTGGACTAGATGATCTCCAGAGGTCCCTTCCAACCTTGGCCATTCTGTGATTCTAAGCAACTAGCAAGGTCTCATACCTACTATTACATATTCTTCTAAAATGCTCATTTGTCTTTATAGTAACTCGCTTCTATGCATATGAGCTAGCTTTTCATGCTGTCTTTGCAAATTATTCTTATAGTTACATTACCCTTCATCTTCTTTTAATACCCATTTATTTATGCACTGAGAGGTGTGTTGGTCATGTTTTTTCATTCTTTGCTTATGCAGCATTTAACATGACCGCATCCTCAGTGGTTGCTACGTCTAGATACTGTAATATTACAAATATTAAAAACAAATACTTAAATACATTAATCACTGGATTTGTTCACACTACATTTTGTTCAAAGACAGCTTTGTTAGCACAGAAGAGAGAAGAACTGAAGTATCTAAAAAATTAACTGACCTATCTTTCATAAGGCCTGAAGGGGGTGTTCAGTTACCTTCAATGAAAATACTGAACACATCAACAGCTTAGCATAGAGTCACTTCAGTGCTTATACAGTTCCTCCAAGAAGAGGACAAAGAAAAGGAATTTCATTCACATACAACCAGACTGTTTCCTTAATTCACAGACAACACAGAGAAAAAAGCTCCCAACCAAAATCATCAGGAGGTAATAAACTGTCAATACACCATTATGTCCACAAACTTTCAGAGTTCTCATTCTTTTTGCTTGATAAAATATGCCAAAATTGTTTGGTAAGTATGATATTCTGTAGTTAAACAGTGAGTTAGGAAGCATCGCATCTCTAGCTTCCTTGTTTTGATCTTGGAAATGGTAGACATTTTTACAAATTACAATATTTGGATGGGGGGGAAGGCGAGGGGGGCAAAAATAGGGAGAGTAGAAAGTAAACTTAGTATTTAGAAATCGGAATTACAGAATTAGAATGAGCAATTATAGAATCAGATTTTGTTCTTATTTATGACTTTGCATTGATTAATGCTGACTCACCTACCTTTAAACTGATTTTCACTGAAAATGGTTTTATATGCCAAAGTACATATTGTATACGTGGAAGGTGAGCTTCCTGTTAATCTCAGCCTAAAGATTATTTCTCAAGGGAACAACAACAACAAAGAATTTTAACTCACCTCTGCACCCTGTAAGGCCTTTCCAGAATAGGCACCTTAAATGGGGGCGGAATATGGGCAAAATAATCTTGATAGGCCACTTCTGAATATTCAGGGATAGATTTTGTGTTTTTTACCATTTCAATATAAAGATCAGAGTCATGAACTGGGGATATATCAGAAACTTCAAGCATCACTTGTTCCTCTGATGAAATCGAGCTGGAATCATCATCTTCCTCAGAATCCACTCCAGTGCAGCATAGCTTTCCCAGCTGGACAAATGATCCCTCAAAGAGGCTACTTCCGCAGGGTGAAACATGTTCACTAGGCTTATTACAAGCAAGCGTGGTAAGGCTAGTTTTGCTTTCCTTTTTCATTACACACCCTGCACCATAATACTGTTCATTTTTTGCACTGTTCTGCAGAGTGATTCTGTCCAAGCCTTTCACAATTTCTTGGCTTAGACACTGGCATGATGGCAGCAGCTCCCTTTGATCATTTTGCTGATGTAAACTACTGTCTTTGTTACTATCTTTCTTTAGCAGTCCCAGAAAGGCTGGCCTTATATTGTATTTCTCTGTCAATAAAAAATTGCTCTCCTTCAGAGAAATTTCTTTTACTGATGGGTTTGCTTCTGCAGAGTGCTCTTCTCCTGCTGTAGGAACAACAATAGGCCCACTCAGATTTGCCTCAGATGGAAAAGGCTTTGGCTCCTTGGAGACTAAGTCACATTCCTAAAAGAAAACAACAAAAACAAACCTTGATTCTTCCCCCCCAAGTAAACACTTCTTAAAAGTTCATTTATATTAGAAGCCTTCTTCCTCTGTTATTTCTGAGGTATGCTCTGCAATAATCCAAAATAAGTTTCATTTAAAGAAGATAGTTATCATTGTGTTGTAAACCTACATAAATAAAGCAATGAAGTTTCATCTTTTCCAATACGATAGCGTCAAAACAGTAAAAAAGTAGTTTGCCAACAACAAACTTTCAAGTCAATGCCATTCTCCAGATTTTGTAATTCACTACTTTAAATAGGTGCACAGCATTTAAGGACATAGCTGATATAATGAATCTTTGTCAGAAATACCTTATGTCCTTTCTTATATTTTACTTTCTCCTGTGTGCTATAATCAGACATTTAAAAAGAGTTTTCCTGTATGTTTGATCTGCCCACACTCCCCTTCTCAGTCCTACTATCAGCTAAAAGTAACATAATCATAAACTAAACTCACTGCATAGCACCCTCATACATAGCTCTAGAACCCCTCTGCCTGCCTCTCTTTTTTTTTTTTCCCCTGCTAGAATAACTCTATCCACACACAAAAAAAAAAGTCACAATACATTCCAGAGTCAACCTCTCATTATGAGAAATGCATTGGGAATCACAGACTTTTCGGAAAACTTTCAGGTAAGTTCTGGGAAAAATTGCTCATACATTTTCAGTTCTTCTATGGGTCGCCCCAATTCCTGCCTAGGTTTCAGTTTATTAATATCAGTCTCAATATCATCATTCTGAAAGAGCACCAAAACAAATTAACCTTGCATTCAGGATGAATGAACTTCTGAAAAAAATGATATTCAGCCTTTACTTCTAACATGGACATGATTATGACATGGCTCAATATTATTTTAAAATTAGCTGAACTGCACATTTCATCATGAGGATTTAAGCAGCTCAATTTTATTGGTCTGCCAAAACTCCCATTTCAACAGGCACATTACAAACATAATTTTCTTGCTTTCATCCAAATGTATTATGCACAGATATTAGACTACACTTTACATGAGATTATGCATAATGCAACCATTGCAACCTGAAAGGTGGAGATTTCATCTGACTGCAGTGACAAAGGAGTAATGGCTTCTTTAAAGATACTCCCTTCATCAGGGCTCATGAGAAGAGAGCCTGAAATAGAAGTTGTCATTCCAGTTAGCAGGCAGGTGATTCAATCAACTTCTGAATCTACATAACATACAAATATAAAATAGTTCCTACTGAATGTCCTTTCATGTCCTGGCTGACAGCTGAAGAACAGAACGAGACCTTCCCAAAGTGATGCAACAGTCAGAGGTCTAATCTCTATCTATAGAGCTGGCTGAACTTCAAAGTTAACTTGACCTAGTCAATAACAGGTCAGAATAATGGAAAAAACTGGAGCATCTCCTACAAACTGAGTACAGTAGGCAGTAGAGAAGAGAGGGCTGAGGGAAACGCAAGTTGGAAACAGAACATTGAAAAAGCAGTTTGCAGTTCTGCTCCATCCCACTCCAGCCACATCAAGTGTGAAGCAAACAGATTTTTGATAAAAATGTTGATGCAATCTGAACAACAAAGGTTGATGTTTTCAAACAGCACCCAACTTCCTTAAATTTCAGATATTTTTTTTATTTTAGAAATTGCATCTTAAAACCTCCCCACATCCTACTAATACTTGAACATATGGCTGTATACACAATTGAAGCAACAAAAATATTGTGCCTCAGTTTTGCCCTTTAATTTCGTCTCCTACCAACCTTAAAATGTTGGTCCTTATCTTCATTTTCAGTTTCAATTTCTGATTCTGCTTCAGCATCATTGTCATCGCTTTCATCCACCACATCATCCACTGTGATATATTTAAAAAAAAAAAAAAGTTCTGTAAGGCAGATTATAAGTTTAACACAATACATACGCTCAAAAAAGAAAAAGAATCATATGGTTATTTAATCATCTAGGTTTATTGCTTTTTTACTTACAAATTGAAAAAAGGCAAAACCAACTAGTTAAAAGTCCCGTGAAACCCTGTAAGCTTTAGTAACTATTACCAGATTTACAAAACTAAATGATTGCTTGGCAATACTGCAGACTCAGTTCTACATTTCCATCCCCTCACCCACCCAAAAATAGTACATGGCTATTAGAAATGCTTAACAACCTAGATGTGCCAAGCCTGCTGTTCAGCACCAAAACATCTCAGCAGTCTCAACGCAGCACAAAATGAAATGGCCATGACACCTTTTCCCAAAGCAAGTAGTAACGAGTAGGTCCAAAAAAATTGAAGTCCTAAGTAGCTTTTTGTAACGTCAGCTGATATTGATCCAATATTATGGAATGGAGGGACAAAGCACCCCCTTCACAATGTTTTTAGTCTAGCCTAAGAAGGGGCCTAAAATTAAAAATAAGTCAGAAACTATCACTGGAGATTCCTCCCAGTACAGAAAATACTGGAGCTGAGTGGTCGCTGCAGCTCCTTAACATGGCCAGATTTGGAACTTGTATATTTTTGGGGTAAAGTTTAGAAGTTACTTCCTACATGTGCAGAAATATTTAGACATCAATCTCTGATTTAGAGATGTAACACTTTGAAACAAGATGAAGCAAATTAATTGTTTACATGACAACTAATGAGTATTGGGCTAAAATCACTCCCTGATATGTAAAAGCGGGCACTAGCCAGTTATTCTGATAGATGTGCTGATCACTAGTGACAAATCCAATCTTTTTCTAGAAATATTACATAGTTTGTTTTTTTTTTTTTTCAGAGGGTTTTCAGTGCAAGAGATTTGTTGATTGTCAGTAGAAGGCTCACTTAAGACATTAACAAAATATACTGATTTGCCAAAGTATTCAAAATGATTGCATTTATTGCTTTTACGATGCTGACTATATGAAATTATACTTTTAACAAATTCAGACAGTACCCCTACAAACCATTCTGCACCTCTTTTTAATAGAGAAGTTTAAATAAGAGATGTATCCTATTTCTTTAGGTTTTGCGCTTCTCTGTTTATAGATTACAAACCACTGGAAAGAGAAATGATCAGTAGTCTACTTCAACAAAATATGAGGTTTCTAGAAAAGTATTATGGCTATCAAAATACTGTATTAAGCAGAAAATTTAATTTCTGTGGATTTTGGAACATGCTTTGAAATCTGTTTCCTATTTTGAAGACAAAATATAAACAGACTTTAAAATCCTGCAGTTTGATGGTATCCTATATGAACCTCAAACAGATACTTGTCTTCTTTCAGACTGTGATCATATTTCATTTCAGAAAATATTATGAATAGGAGGATATTAAAAGTGTAACTTCACCTCTATTTTGGATTAACTTCCCCACAGCAACTTCATCAGTTCCTTACCCAAGTACTAAGCTGTTTCCAAATATTTGAAAAAGCATTAATTATCCAAAAATAATGAGAGGAAAACAATCAGATGAATCTGTTTCCTACAAAGCACCAGGCAAATACTTTGCAGACTAGTGTTACCTAAGAGACTGCAACAGTTCGGGTAAGCAGCTCTACTTTTCATCATACAGATGAAGGAATAACCACAATGGTTTAATATCAATGCCTCAAACATAAAATGTTAATCTAAATTCAGTACATCCAGTTTATCAGAAAGAAACTAAGGAAGAACATAGAAGAATGTATGCAGCCTATGCTTTACATCTCAGAGTTAGATGAACATCACTTTTTAGTTCCTGGTTTATTTTTTATATATCTCCAGAAACATAACCACATACGTGCAGGCAAAATTGTCATCAGCTGAAATTTAGTATTAGAAATTCACGGTCTGCTCTAATGGTCACAGATCCTTTGCTAGCTGAGAAGAATCTCAGAGTCCAAGTTTTAGTGGAGAAGTTCAAACAATTGTAATTGATTCCACCCTACACAGAACAAGGTTAGACAAATTCAAAGAGAAAACATTGTAAAATGACCATACCTTCGGGAGGCAAACTGTACAGCTGAGCCACAGGACCATTAACAGGAATAACTGGGAGTTGGAAATGGAAAGCACTTTTAATAGTAGGTAAAGGAAGGCGATTTTTAGGAAAACATTTTCTCATTATTAGGCTGGATGTGTTGATGAGGGGATCAAGAGTTCTTACTGCAAGGCACTCCTATTAATAGGAAAATAAGGAAGACAAGAAAAGTGTCTCACAAACTAATAGTCAAATTGCATTTGTCATTAGTGAATTCTAAAAATCTATAAAACAAAGTATTTTATGCTGTTACTTAAAACAAATTTTGCTTATGACTCCTTTGAAGATCAGAAGAATTTCTACCAACTCAAATTCACCTTTTTCAAACCCCTATCTTCACAAAGGAAGGATATTTTTTTCAGAAGATCAAAAGCCCCTCCCAGAGATAGTCACAGCTGAGTAATATTAAAACATGAATTTCATCCTGTACCCTTTTCTTCTGCTTTAGCCAAGTACAGAAAATTATCCTTATCCCCACAGTCAGGAACGAGCACCAATATCATAAAGGAATAACAATAAATTTGAGGTCAGAATATATTTTTAAAGCTTAAAATGCAACAACAACAAAAAAGGAGATAAACTTACTTGTGAAGTACTGTAAAGAATTTTCATCCCATTGGCATCAATGAATGTTTTTCTTCCTAATTTGATGTTTGTAACACTTTTAATGCATTGTAAAATGCCTTTACGTATCAGCATATATCTGTGTTGACTATCATGATGGTGCCAATCTACATAAATCGTTAAAAGCACATGTACATATCCTCTGTCTACTGCTCTCCTGGCATTTGTCTCTTAACAAAAAAAAAAAGTTAGGAAGTAAATTAAAAATTATAAAAGGACTTTACTGTTGTCGTATTTTCAGTATTATTTTCAAATCAATTTTAAAATGATTCTTTTTACTCAACTTACTACTTTAAATGATAACATTCAGTATTTCAGCCACATTTAGCAGTTTTACATTAACATAAATATGAAAACTCCAGAAAGTATGCTTCTGTATTTTCTAGACATTTCTTACAAGCCTGCAATTCCCCTGCCCCATCAGTATCACCAAACTTTTAACTAAGTCATTCTAAGACACATATTTAGATTAGTTGTCCAAGGCAGGTGTTGTTCCCCCTTCCATGCACAAATTTTATATAACTCCTTATTGCAACTGGGAAAGATACTTAAAAGGGGATTGACTTCTATATGTCAATGTCTATAGGCAAAATATATAATATGCAAAAATATTTTGAATCCATATAGTAGTGATTAGTAGAATTTCTGTAGGTATTTCTACCCTGTTATAACAAGCCTATATATTTCTAATCATTCTTGCTCCAAGATGGTAAATGCCTTAAAAATGATAGTTTCCAACTGCCTTTTTTTAATTAAAAGCCTATTTTAGATATAAATTTGCTTTGAAAAATGAGTACTAAAAATATTTAATACTCTTTTGTTAAAAACATACGAATAATATATATAATATCCAAATGGGCTATTTATTGAGCTGTGTTACATTTAAATCATAGTAGTAATTTATTAAGTAGCAACATCACTTCCTCATGTTATTTGTTTTGCATTGCGTTTGCATTACTGTCTTTTTTACTGCTATACAAAACTCCTATACAAATTATGTGCATAAATATCATTTTTCAAGAGAACAGGTGTAGGAAATATTATTCTCATGAGAAATGATTGAATGACTGAGCCCAGTACTGTATCTTTCATTCCTCAGGATAGTGTTGCATTTAATTTTCATGGTTTACCAGAAGAGCAGTGTTTGTTACACTTACCTGTAAGATACTGTCAGCTAGCAAATTTAGGAAAAAAACGTTTATAGCATATACATCACTGTCCATACACATTGTGTAAACACAAGACTTGAAACAAACTGTTTTACTGCTTATACTCCATGTAGTATTGCAGGAACTGTCACTCAAATTTGATAAACTCAAAATATTTATATCCCAAATATGGTAGAACCTGTGCAACCCCATGAAGAATCCAGTTCTGACAAACTCAAACTTATGAAGTTCTGCTGTTTTGTTTTTCTTAAAGCCATTAAAATCATTATGTTCTGATTATCAATCTACAAAATGGCAGATTATGATTTATATAGATTTTCTAACTCCCTCTTTTTCTCCTCCTCAAAAAAGCTACCAATGCAATGAGATATTTGAAATTGGACAATTTTTTTTTTTTCAGAAAGCTTCCAGCGATTGCGGGAGAAGGAAGAAGTGTTATAACACAATTTCACAAAAATAGACAAGAGTTCTACTGTCTCTTCTACAGACTCACTGCCTGTCTGTTTTAGTTGGGGCTTAGTTAAAAAACTCATCAATTTACGTGGAATATGCAGTATGACAATTGGACTCTGCACACCAGAGATGAACATTGTTATGAAAAGTGATATAAAAAGTGTAGGAGGGTAAAATGCCAAAATCCGTCAGGACTAAATAATGCTTATCTCAAAATAAATAAGCATATCAGTTAAGAGCTCCTGTTTTCCTTAAAGACTTTTCAACATTTTATCTCCTCAATATTCAAATTTGTCCAAAAATTTACAGGCCAGAATGCCAACGGTAATTATGAAATGTTTCCTTCCCTGGATTTCCCAAGGAGAAATCCCAAAATTAGTAAATACGCAATCCTTAAGACCAAGGAATCACTCTGATCAAACTTGAAAAAACTTAGCACTCTACACGAAGTGCCAGAGAAGTTTCCTACTATGTGTCTGAAACGGTTTTTTGCAAATAAAATTACTCAGTTCTTCTCTAACTACACTAGAATTACTTAGACTGCTGTAGCTTTTACACAATTGTTGGGAGAGAATGAGTTTATAATTCCTTGTGCGTTATAATCTTGGTGTTAAGGTCAGCAGCAATGACATTTGTCAGGATCCTCTGCTGTCAGCTCAGATGGCCAATGCCCAGGAACAGACCGTCATTTCCTCACCCTTGGTGCCACTCCACAGGCAGCCCAACAGACTTGGCTTTAGGACCCAACACCTAATTAGTCAGAAGAGTACCAGAAGAAACCCTATATTAACTCCTATCATCCAGCTGGTATTTCTGGTCATGTAAGATGTGTGTGTGAGCAAGATGCATAGGAGACCACTACTGAAGGGCAGAGGTGAGCGACTGTAAAAGGTATTTCCCCATCTTGGATTGAGACCAGTTCTGCAGAAGCTGGGCAGCCTTTCCGCTGCATAGTTGAAGAGATCGTAACTAATCATTAAATATAGATGTACACACACACACAAACACTAAAGCACCAGGAGCTGCAGTAAACTGTAGCCTTAATTCTAAGCTTCCGGGACTTGATTATGTTTTGGGCACATAGCGTCAGTTGTACTCTTTTTTCATTATATATATTTGCACACACACCTCAACTAGAAGAACAGTTTCTTGTAGTCACTTACTTGATTTTAGCAATGCAGCAAGTGTGTCTAAAGCAACCCTGTCAACGTAACAAAAAAAGACAAACAACAAACTAGTAAACTTCATCTACAACACTGTAAAGCTATACAAAGTTTTACAGCTAACAGATTTCTTTAGTGTCTATTCTGTTTTCCTGGTTGCACTGTATCACAGATTTTTCTTTAAAAATTTGGTTTTACTAAAATATCCTGCATCTCTTCGAGATCTGTATCAGTGTTTTTAACGTTCACTGTCAGATTTCAATGGCTATATGAACTTTCAGTCTTTACAAAAAAAACAAAAACAAAAAACCTACACTATCAGTAATAATGTAATATTTATGAATCACATTCAACAAATAAGATATCTCTGAAACCCATGTTTTTATGTTAGCAGCATAATAAGCTAGTTCTGTAAAACAAAGAACACCATTTTAGAAAACTATAGGTTAAATTTGGTAGTATATGAATGTATTTAGGAGTAACGCTCATCAATAAAGGTACTACACTACAAAATCATCAGTATACAATTTTTTGTATACAAAGGTCTTGTCTCAACTATCTCAGGATGTACAACTAGAAAACCTATATACTTATTTTTACCCTCTTTGTAAAGATAGACTTCACGTCTCTGATCATAAACAAGGATATCATGATTACTCACATCGTGGAATAGTAAGTCCACATGTTTACTTTTAGCTGAGGGTTAAAGGGGCAGGAGTGGTTTTTTTTGTTTAAGTACTCCAATAACCATGTGTACCAGATTTAGATAACAGAACACTATTTGGTATGTACAGAAGTTAGAATAGAGCAACATAATATTATTATTTCAGTAGACAGATTAAAGTTCAGTTTTCCACAGGTATGCACTTCAAAAGGTTGATAGTATATAAAGAAAGAGCTATCTCCAATAAGATCAAGCAGAAGACTGGTATCCAAAAAATAGTAATTCAGGACCATATGTGAAAAATACCTGATGAAAAGGATAGACAAGTGAGTTATTTTTACCCTAAAATTACTGCCCACAGAGGGGAAAAAGCTAAAGGCACCACTTTAAGGTACCACAGTAGTCCATTAGACACATATTCCTGATGTTTACTATTCTACAGTGGAAGTTTTTATCCTGAGAAACTGTATAATTGCTTGGAAGTATAACACAAGGAAATTCTATTATAAAATAAAACACACTGTCACTGTGAAAACACAAAGGAGAGCTGGGAGTAAATTCAACACTTAAGAATGACGGGATTGTCTTGATCAGTTTGTCCTCATTTGGGGATAGCTGTGGGGATGGTTTCCATGCAGGAATATTAGAGACAAAACAAAAACACCTCTATCCTTTTACCTGTACTGTAACTAGATATTCAAATATTTTGTGTTACTGCACTGGATAAACTTAGAGAGTCAGATTTGTAGTTCTCCTTCCCACCTCCCTTTACCTGTCAAATATGAGTCATGTTTCATTTTTTAAAAATTCTGTTTCATTAAAAAGTAAGTTTTGAAACATAGCTTTTCCATATACTATATTAAAAATACTTCACTTACTTCATAAGACTAGTGCTCTTTTTGCTGAAAGGGCCAATGATCTTAAACATCAGTTCTACTACTCCATTTTTTCCCCAAGGATACTGCATTTACAGCTGGAAAAGTTTAAAAAATAAAAAACCGTTTTAAGATAATGTAGTATGAAAGGTGAAAGAAATTGATACTCGCAAACTAAAATCCAGAGTGAATTTTCAAACACAGAAAACGTTAGGAGTTTTTGTGCTTTAAAAAAAAAAAAAAAATACAACAATAAGCAGATACCATTCTGCATATAACTTAGTGTGATATCAAATCTGATAAAACCTAGAAAGTAAAAACTAATTTTTGTTTTCCAAACATAAACTAAAGGAAATCATTACTTCCCTGTGCATGCTCTGTTTCCTTTCTTATTAAAGTACACCATAAAAAGTATTTTCTTCCCAAAAGCTCACAGTTTATCATGACAGCAGGGTTTCTAAAAATTTAAGAGTCTATCAGGTTCTGTGATTTGCTATTATCCTTCAGTAACAGGACAGACAGGTACGCCCAAAAGTATTTGAAAGCCAAGTGTTCACTGTATAATTTAGAAATGACAATCAGTATTTCCCACTCTCCCTGAGTTACAGGATATGTAAATGTGTTCTCAGAGAAAAATATAATAAAAATAACTTCCCCCCTTCTAGCAAGAAATGCACACTAGATGGGTTTATGGCTAAAATCCAGCACCCACTGAAAATGCAAACTGCTTATACATGCATAGGGATGCTATTCCTGTCTGAGTTTAAAAATATGCATTCCTAACCAGGTAGGAAGAGAGCAACCAAGCAAAGAGCTGTCTTCAACATAAGAAATACTGCATGAAGATAATTCAGTATTTGAACCCAAGTTGCAATTTCATCCTCATTAGCAGCAGTATTACAACACTAGGATCAAATCAAAATCAGGACTCTGTTCTTCTAGCAACATATACAAATTTTAAGTAAAACTACCCATCAAAATGTAATAAACTACTCTTCTGTTCAGAAGAAATGTGGAAATACAAAAAGATGAAAATAATCAAGCAGAATCCAGGTTAGAGACCCAGTTCAATCTCCCATTTCCATGACAAAACAGGTTTTCAACTGAACTGTGTAACTATCCATATTAACTTCTCCCATTTAAAAGTATTTTACCTCATTACCAGACAGCTCAATAGAAATAAAGCTTCCACAGTTTGCAAGTATTGCGGCTTTATGAATTCTATTTGTTCATGTAAATGTCCAGAAAACACAATCTTATAGGCCAGCAAATCCATTCTCTTGGAGAAATATAGTTATGTTTTCAATTTCACGCATTTAATTTAAAAGGTTAAATGGTCATTTTGGGTTAAATAGAAAAAAGGAAAAAAAGAGCAACTAACTGATAGTAAAGGTACAATAAGAACCACATTGTTTTCACCAACTCCCTACTGCCTGCAAGAACAATGAATTAAGCTTTTATGGAAGAACATTAGTCCAATAGTGGGACACTTCAACACAAGTAATAAAAAAAATGGTTAAAGAAATAAATAAAAGTATTCCCTGTGTAAACTAAATTTTAAATTAGCAACAATGAATTTAAAAATATAATAAAAAAGTCACGAGCATGTGTAATAAAGAGAATAATTATTTCATTTGATGTGCTTTTGCAAGCACAACGTTAGCATTCCTGTTTTAGATAATGCATCAGCGTTTACGCAAATGAAATGGCCAAAAATTCCACACACCCAACAGTGTTGATTGAAAAAAACACAACCATAAATATGCACTAAACAGGAATCAGTCATACACAAAAAGGACACACATACTTCACAACTTTTATTAGGTCTTGAGCAATATGAAGATATAAAAAGCAAATTCTCAGGTAATAAATAGTCATTTTAACCATGTAACACCAAACAAGTATTTAGATCATATATTTTAACTATCTCTAACATTTTTGTTATTGTATGAAAAAGAGAGAAAAATGTTCTGCAATACTTACAGTTGGATGAGTGAACTCTTAATACTTGAAGACATGGCAGTATTAGCCTGTGGTTCTGCAAGTTCTGCTTCACCAAATTCAATGATATGTTTAGAGCACCATTAATTCTAGCTTTCATGCCAATCTTTTTATCTGACATCAAAGAAATACAAGATTGATCAAACTAAATTTGAAATCATCATTTAAAAAAAAAAGTGAACTGTGAATTCCTTCTAGTGATATGTCAACTCTGCATGTCTTCATTTTTCACCACTTTCCTCCCCTCTATTTCACTATTCCTTCTGTTCTCCTTTACCAATCCTGACTACATAAATGCTTACACAATAACAGAAGGAAAAAAAAAAAGTTCCCTTAAGTTTCAATTATAAAACTGGTAAATACTAAGCCATATTACTCAAGTATATCATTATCACCTTTTGGACCAATTTTTGCAAGAAGGGTGTGAAGAAGCACCATTAACTCCTCATTTGGTGGATATTTATAAACTGATATTTCTGAAGTCAAAGAACAGTCAAATATCTAAGCTATGGTTATCATAAAGTCTTTAGAACAGCAATGCTTTCCTCATACATGACCACACTACAATAAAACACATTATTGGACTGTACATGTATAGCAACATAAACACTGAAGCCACCTTTCAAAGAAACATGCACAATATAACTTTTACTTCAGTGACCTTTGGAAAAAAAACAAAAAACAAGTCTGCAGAAGAATACAACATTATTATCACAAATTGCTCCTTAATGAAAACTTACCAATTGAGGCTAACTCAATGAGAATATTCAATATATTTAAAGTAATTTGAGGATCTCTTGTATTCTGAAATGAAATAAAAAAATATTTCCTTGTATAATTTATACATCTAATACAGGGGCTTTTACATACTTAAAAGCTCAGAGAAATTGCCACTGCTGAATCAAATGAAACTCGGACATTACCACCCAGCTAACCATCCCACCATGCAGCCTGAAGTATCTGCAGAACCAATTAAAATCTAGTTCTTAGTATGGCATGTTATCTAAAACCAATAGTTCACAAATAATCTCTTAGAATATTTAAAAATAAGGGACTGAAATTCTTAGGGTCTTTAGGTATCATAAACTAAATTACCTATCTAACCACTACAACCCTTTGACAAGCACTACTTTTGGAGATAAGTTAGAGTCAAACACAACTTTTGGAGATAAGAGTTAAGATAAAAATATATTTAATAGTATGAAGCCTAAATGATAATATGAAAAACTTGCAATGTACACATAACCACACAAATTAAAATGTTTTACCTCTAGGGTTGAAAGGATAACTTCTATTCCGGTGGAACCCTTAGAAGTCATCTCTTTCCTAGTTTTTTCTGCCAGTCAGAAAGACATCAGTTTTCTTTTAATATAGTAGCTTTGCAGAAAAAAAACTAATCCTATACGTACAGATCAGAAAAACTAAGCTACAAATAACAAAATCCATTAAAAGAAAAACTGTACACAGGTATAAGAAACATTAACACATCAACAGGCAACAGACTTAAGTGTTTTCAAAACTAATCTTTAGTTTTACCTGTGCAACAATATTGTGTTTAAGCTTACAGGCCCTGATTTTAAGGGGTGGGGGGAGGGGAGGAAGAGGGGGAGAGGCACGGGGGAGAAGGGGAACCGTAAGAAAAAAAGCCGTAAGCAAGCTATCTTCCAGATATTTCTGAATCCCAGGAAGAATTACTGGAGATGAAATTCTTGAGACTTCCAGCAGCAAATTTATTGCAAGTTATTTATATATTTATATAGACAGATAGATAGATATTTGCTTCATTATAGACAAGTTTTTATAGTATCATATCACTAGATGTTATTTTTTTTAGTTTGAAAACAGCTTTAAGATAGCTTGAAAAGGACTATAAATAACTAACATCTAGGGGAGAGGGGAGGAAGGGGAGCAAAAGCAGCTGTAACTTTTAATATTAACCAGTTTATTTCATGGAATTGCATATAAAAACCTACAGTGGGTCAAGTCTACCTTGGTAGGAGGCCACTGCTGAACAGCACTAAACTAAACAAAAATCATCTTAAAAATAAAGATTTTATTCTTCATATGAGTATACTTTTAAAAGCAATTGGGCAATGAGGAAACACTTCATTATGTATTAATACTTTAACTAGAGCAGACCTGTATTATATGTTACAATGTACCACATGTGACAGTATCACATCAGCTATTCTTATCCCATGAATTATTACTGAAACCATTCCTGTTGACAACACAAAATGCATCCAGGGTAACCAAATACTATACTGTATAATATCAAACACGTCCTTGAACAGGTGCTTTTAAACCACCCATGGTGAAAACAGATGGATAGCCAACTTTATCAGGCAGGAAGAGAAGTTTAAAAGAGTCCAGCAAGGAAGAAATATAAAAAGGAAGGAAAGGAAAACTATTAAAACAAAAGAAGTTGAGATATTTACCTTGACTCTGAACCAGATGAAGGATCTTTGAAGTAACATATCTGGCATTGTCTGCTTCTGCTAATAAGGAGTCTGAATTGATCTTCTCCAGCTGTGACAGCAGAGACATAGTCCGAGAACTGGTAGAAACACTACAAGAAATATTTCCTACGTTCATGTTTCCATCCACACTGAACGTGAAACCAAACACTAGATCAGAAAAAAACCTACTAGCAACAAAAGTCCCATGATCAGAGTAAGGGGAGTGGCTAAATCACCTTTGCATTTTATCTTGACAAGAAAACAGTCTTAATTTTCCTCAGTTTTGGCACCTTTACAAATTTTGCAAAGCCTGCATTGCAGCAGACTAATTATATATAACAGCATCTCCAAGAGCAACCACAGAAAATACTTGCAGCAAACAAAACACAGAGAGTGGTACAAATATTATTTCC